CAGCAGCCAAGCCAGGCCTCTCATCCGAGCAAACAGTCACAGGCGTGATGCTCGTCCGTGTCATTATCCTCGTAACCGTCAACGTTCTTTTGGCAGTCTCGCGCAAAATTGCACAGACTCCGACCCCCCCCCCTCCCCAGACAGATGAGAAAAATGGCATGATGCTGACGACAATGAGCTGCTGTGCTTCTTGCACGCTGGTATTCCGAGTGTGACTGTTGGTAGTGTGCTGTTCTGCCCTTAGGTACCGCATGTCCGCATGTCGTTTGCTCTTCATTATTTCCTAAAGCTTGTTTGGCTTGATGTTCTTTCGTAGATTTTCGTAGTTTCTATCGACCGTTGTCATTCTACGCTCAGTTTCGGTTAGGTGCGGGAAAAGTCAGCCCTAGCATGTGCTTGAATGGCTTTAATCCAGGACTCTTGAGCCAGGGGCCGGAGGAGTGTACAGGGACAGGGGAGAACCCACACAGGGAACCGCAGGGAGAGGGGAGGTGGACAGCGCTGCACCATATGTACGTACATGGTTCTTCTATTTATATGCAGCATTCCCCTCATGACAACCTTGAGAGCCCAGGCACCGTCGAGGCGGGCGCCTCGGTCTCCTGGTGCAGGACTCCGAGACTCCGCTTCTTCGTCATGCGACTTCATAAAGCACGACAAAGCATCGCAGCTCCCGTGCTTGTGTATGATGCCGGCCGGTGACAGTAGAAGAAAGGTCAGAGCTTCACACAGTGATGTGAGAGGTCAGGCACAGCAGCAGCTTTCATACTTGCGCGCTGCCCTGGTCCTGGCTCCAGCTCGGGGAACAGCTGCTGCCACATGTCTTGGCAATACAAGTCAAAAACACAGCACCACGACGATCAGATACTGAGCTCTTGCATTGCAGCAACATGCTGCCAAAATCTTTCACTGTGCTCACGGACTGCACACTTTGAAGATACTGATGCCGGGATGCGATCTTACTGCCGCCGAAATCCTGAGATGCATTCGCACGCGAGATTCAGACAGCTTCCAATGAAGTCGGCGGAGAGCAATCAGTTCTTCCTTTCTGGTCAAGATGTCGACATGCTTGGTGTTGCAGCATCTCCATTTCTCTGTGTGTGTGTGTGTCTCGTGCATTTCGTTTAACTCTATCTACGCACCCTCCTAGCACTGCAATTGGGGTGCACGCCACATCTACCTCTAGAAAATTCAAGGCACGGCAACCTGGACTCTTTCCTTGTCCTTGGTTTACCGCCAGTCCCGCTGACACGCAAACAAATGCTCAACATCTTAGTGCCGGTCCCAGCGGAACTCGTCGATCATCACCCAATCAGCTTGTGCCTGAAAATGCACCTGAAACCGTAGGCACTTGGAACAGGTCTTTTGCCACATTTGTACAAATGCCCCAACAAGCCAGCAGCCGAAGATGAGTAGTCCCGTACACATGCACCAAGCGAGTTTCACATCTGCCTCCTCCAGGTCATTCTCAATTTTTTCTCCAGCACTCCTGCGCCCACAACAGCTAAGAAGATCACTCCTGGCCTACAACGAGTTGGCACCCTTTCTCGCAGTCACGTGTGTCCCATTAATGAACTTGACAGTCTGATACAACAGGGATTTGAATCCTCTGAATGGAACACTTCGGTTGAAGCCTCAAGTGCCTGGCTTTGCGTGCTCGTCTGTGGCTGAGGAAAACACGAACTTCCAAACAAGGACTGGACAAGCCGAGTCAGAACAGGGTCAGAACAAGCTTGGTTCGTAAGACAGCCTTAGGCCGCGCCGCACCCTTTTGTACGGGCAGCAAAGCCGCAAAGCCCTAATTGTCGGGTATTGAATTTTTGGAGCGTCCCTCCCCCGGAAAATTTGGAATAAGACGGACCCGCAGCAGTCTGAACATTTTTTGGTGGCGTCGGAAGGTTGGGGTCAGACGCCGGCGAGGGTCTGAAGTCATTGTTGCAGCCCCATTCAAACATTTTCGCATGATCTCTGCGACCTGACCGCGTTCCGGATTTTACGGATGGACAGTAGGGTACAGTTGGTTTAATAAACTTTCCGTGGTAAGGTTGGCAAGGAGCAAAAAATGGCGAGTGCCGACGAATGGCTCTTCCCGTACAAATTATGTTTGCGTCTGGGCATTTATTCCGTTCGATGTATCCATGCATATGAAGAATCAACACTGCTACTAGTCTGGCATATCTGCAGATCTTGGTGTAGGATACAGGCCTCAACCGAATTGCGCCGCTCGTGTCACATCAGTGCCTCGCAGCCCATGCCTATCCGAACTGGAGTCACTCCCGACCAAGGATTACTGGAGGTGGGATGAAGCAGTCCGCGCATCCTCGCTCTCTGGAGAATGCCGGTATCAGCGCACTGGCAGCAGCCGATCTGAAGCTTCCAGAATCCATCCGCCATCCCACGAGTTGTCTCCGGGAGGCGGGGCAAAAGGTGAAGCTTAGAAGGCGGCATCGGGCAGATGTGCGCACATCCTCGCCTCCAGGCAGTAAAAGCTGCAAAACTGCAATCGGCGCACGGATCCAGACAATTCAGCTTGTGCTGCAAGTGGTGTTTCTACCTGCAGCTACTTCGGAGCTGCAGTGTGCACGAATCGCAATCGAGAGAACCTGTGACCGTCACAGGTGCCGAGTGCACAAATTCAAAACGAAGACCCCAGCAGCGGCCATGCCGCAGCTTCTATGCGCTGAATCTGAAGACGTCCCGGGATACTTTGTTGCTGCCCCAACGGCCGGTAAACTGCTGTTGAGATCTGTGAATGACGTTCATTCATGTTCATTCGGGAGCGAGGTCTGAGGCATTTGCTCGACATTGCTCGACAGACCTGCATTTAAAGGTGTCCGGTGCCTGATCCCAGCAGAGAAGCAGATTCGTGAACTCTTGCCCGAAAACAGCATGGTTCGGCTTTGCTCAGTAGACGAATGTGCGAGATACGCAGTCTCTGCCTTGCTGGAAAGCCAGGATGGACGAAAACTACTTGGACAAACCCCAGGCAGTATTCTCCTGAGATCGGCTAATACGACTAACTACAGCAGAATCAGTCGGCGGTGAGTGGTGTCTTCCGGCTGCCAGTCGGATTCTGAGGTCGAGCCTTCAGATGCACAAGCTGTGCTGCCTTCCAGCTGCTTGTCGGATTCCAAGGGCGAGCCCGTAGAACATCTGCATTCCTGTGCCATCACATCAAGCTCCTGGAAAACCGAAAGGACTTCCGCATAGCCACCTGCTGCTTGAAAGGTTCGCCCTGTTGGGAGGTTAGACTCATGGCATTCAACTTGTCATTGTAAGAACTTGACGCATAAAGTGACACTTCATTCTTTGGAAGCCAAGCACCCCATCTGCGTTCATAGCGCTGCGCCGCCTGCTCAGCTGTCAAACCGCCACTGACGGCCGTCCTGCTGGCCCCGAGCTGCAGGAGTGCCCGGACTGCGGCTGGCTGGTTCTGCCGCACAGCTGCGTGCAAAGGAAAGCCTGGAACAGCGAGTCAGGGACACATTCTTTTGCATACCCGACTTCCGGTACTTCTGCTGGCATGCCTCTTTGTATCCACCGGAAAGATTTCGCACTAAGTCTCTCTGCTTTCTTCCTCTCACTGTGCAAGAGCTATGCAGTGCCGATGCCAAAGCTTGCGACGAGTGTGTGTGTGTGTGTGTCTGTCTGTCTGTCTGTCTGTCTGTCGTTCGCACCCTCCTTCGGCGCAAAGTGGACACGCCTCGCTCTTGGTTCATTGTATCTTGCAACTTTGAGAAATGGCTGACGGGTGCAACGTCTGGTAAGTCGTAAGTTCCATCGCACGAAAACGCCAACCCTCGCCTTCGCCTGGACACCCTCTCGGTGACAACGACGAGCAACATCGAAGCGTGCCCTGGCACGGGCACCTTCCAGTCGATTCCAGTCCATCCACTCCCTCCTGCTTTGTCTTTCTCTAGGGCCTGAGAGTCCGATCATGGACCTCCACGCACCACACCCCAGTCTCTGTCCGGCTTTGCTTGTTGGTTTGCTCGGACCCAGGAGCACGAGCATGTACACTCTGACGCTCTTTCAGGCTTGCGCGGGTCTAGCTGGCCCACCTGTTTCATATACAGGAGCACCTCAAAGCCAGTCAGATGAACAACCAAAGATGGGCTGTCTTCAGGACTCGTGCCACCATAAGCCCGAAGAACAAATGCCACTCCGGCAGGCAGGTAGCCGCAACTAGACTTCTCCTGTCGTTTTTATGTCTTTCCCAGGGAGTGCGAATCGTGAATTATCGTGACATGGAAGTGTCGGGACTCGTGCACCAAGCAGTAGACCAAGAGTCAGGCTGTGTGAACATATGCGGAGCCATAATAAGAACAATACCATGCAGTAGATGCATCTGGCATTCACGCAACAGAACAATCAGCCAGCTGCACAAACGAGTGCAAGACAGCAGCCTGAGCGGGAGAGAGTGAGATGAGAAGTGCGCTGACTGACTCCCTTCGGACATTGCTCCGAACTCAATCTTGTGTGCCACTCTAGGTCCTTCTCTCTCTCTGCTGTGCTAGGGGCAGCTCATAGTTTCTTCCTTCCTTACTCACTGAAAATCGTTCCCTCTAACGGGGTTAGCGACACCGTTTTTCAGGTGCAGTGCAGTGCGGGAATCTATCTTCAAAATGCAGCTTGAGCACATCTGCAGCCCCAGGACCACTTGGCGCCGTTCAC